GTGAAAAAATGAAGAGATTTGAAGTGACCCTTGATGGTATGGATGAGGCATCAAATTGTAAATGGTACGGTAAGGGTTAAAATTACTATAATGTGGTAGTAGCTGCGGTCTTCATGTAAATTATAAGTTTAAATGCTATAGTTATTTTTTTTTAAATAATAACATAACGTAATTTTTACACTTTTGCATAGTAAAAATTTTTTATTACAAAATCAAATATACCTAGGAAATTTTGTTTGCGTAACCATAGTAAAAATTAACTGTTTTTCATGTTAGAATATGGCTTAACAAAATAATGACTTTATTTATGTGATAAATATTACCATAGTAAAAGTTAAGATCGGAATTATGTTGTGAGAGTCCATCGAAAATACAAGCATAATAAAGTGTCATTTAAAGTTGTATTAAAACTTAATATAAAATTTTCTCCTTGTATATAGATCGGACTTAAAACATTTACAATGATATGAAATTGTAAGGTGTAAAATTTAATGGGCCTTCTACAATAAGCTTTAAGCATTAAGTTTTAAGCTTATTTAAATTTTAACCAATCATAGTCGATTAGTTTTCTCACATTCAAAATGTAATAAAAATTAAAAATATTATTATATATCGTTGCGTAGCTTTTTTTTAACATATAAAATTCTGCGAAACGATGCTGGACCGATATCGATACTATCGTTAAGAGTTACAGAATAGAACAACTGATCCAAAAAATGCGACCGAATTTTGTGTGTGTGTGTTTGTGAAGTTATCTAATACGATCTCTACTGATTTATCATCTATTTGATGTACACAAATCTGAAAATAGTTGAGTTGCGGAGTCCACTGAAGTCAGTACCGAATCGTTGGAACATCTTGAAAACGCGAAGTATTATTTAAAAAAATGCTTAGCTGTGATTGGTCCGTGATACGTCGCCTTTTAAATTCTACTTTTTGACTGCGTTCCGTTTATTTGCTGCGAGTAGTACTGAAAATTTATAGTATACATTATTTATACTATAGATTTTTTACTCGCAGTGAATATAACAGAACTCAGGCTTTAGTCACGTATGTCAATTGCGTATATAAATGTATTATAGTATATACAACTCGACTAGTATTGGTGTAATGACAGGTATTACTCGTTCGTCGAAAGTGAGTCGTATAATGTGTATACATGCATACATTTCGAGAGTGTGTATAATACGAAACAAGTTGTCGTTTTGTGACGTTAATAAATGCATGCGTGTTGATTGTAATTAGTCGCATTATCGACAGTTTGTATCCGCACGAGCAAATATTATATATTTTTTGAAAGTGATGATGGGAGTATAAATTAGCGAAGACCGCAGCGTACTGATTAGTGAGTAATTCAATTACTATCCATGTTTATGTATACTTAGTAGTAGTATAATTAGCATTTTTAGACAAATAATTTTAATTACATAGTGCGTAATATTTATTTTGTTTAACCTCGTCGTTATAAATTGCTTCTTTTTGCTTAATACGTTTAAACTTTTAAACTTTAAACTTTTAAACTTTTAAACTTTTTTTCTTAATGTTTGAAAAAGAAAAATTATTGTTTCACTATAAAACATTACAATTTTCGAATAATACAATTTAATACTTCAGTCTTATAGACTGAAAAAATGTACTAAATTTTAATAAATATTTGTTTGAAGAGTGTATCGTATTAACTGAATATTTACTAATTGTAAATAACAAATATTTGATACAAGAACCATTAATTTAATTCAGCTATTATTTTCTTTATTTAGTAAATATTTATTTACTGTAAGTAAATGTTAAATTAGCATTATTCCAATAAATATTTATTAAAATTTAGTACATTTTTTCAGTGTTTTTGGCAAATTTTGGTATATTTTGGTATAGTTTTTTCCAATTAAATTTCTCTCTTGCGAAAAAATTGAAAGATATATTTATAATCTTTCTGATGTAATATTTTTTATATCGAATAAATGTATTTTTTTATAAAAATGATTTTTTCATAATATTCGGAGAAAGGTAAAGAAATATTTCGGCTGCATACTTTACAGTCATATTGCATGATGGCGCCACTTACTTCATTACATCTCGAGTAAAAGTTTGAAACAGCTGATAGCGTGCAGCAGAATGCATAACCTTTACGCTCCATTTTGTTCTTAAACAAGAGGTCTCAAGAGTTAATTGCAAAAGTTCTTTACTGCAGTAAATTAAAACATGATTCGTTTTGCAGCCAAACAGTTATTTATCAACAGAAATTTTAGCACGAAATTTAATGAAATCAGCAATCTTGTTAAGGTAAGTGAATGTAATATGATAGGGATACGTTTGTGCTTATATCGTAAAGTAAATATTTCTTGAGACGTATGATATTTAATATTTTGTATACAAAATAATAGAATAAGTATGTTATTACTGTATAAGATCTTTTTGCGGTTTGTATGGTATAGAAAAAGCATGAAGTAATACTACATTATCAGTGACTCTTTAATTTTGTTAATAAACGTGATATTATGTATAACATTTATTATTTTAAACATGCTTTTTTGTAGAAAAATAAAATAGTCGTCTTTATGAAAGGCATTCCAGAAGAGCCAAGATGTGGATTCAGCAATGCAGTAGTTCAAGTATTACGTATGCACGGAGTTACTTATGATGCTCATGATGTTCTCAAGGATGAAGAACTTAGACAAGGTAAAAGGATTACAAATACTTATTACAAATGCTGTTACAAGTTTCCATCTTTATTAAACAATCGTTTTTCGAAAAGAAATATTTTATAAAATTTTTATCTATATACTAAAAAAAAAAAGATATTTATTTTAATAATAAATGTCTTTTTACTGTTTATACTGCATAAAATAAAAAATTTATATAATTTTATATATTTTCGTAAATCTTCTGTAAAGTATTAATCTTCATAAATTATTAATTATCGCTAATATCATATAATTCTGAAATACTAATATTAATTACTTAGGTATAAAAGACTTTTCTAATTGGCCTACAATACCCCAAGTATTTATAAATGGTGATTTTGTGGGTGGCTGCGACATACTCTTAGAAATGCATAAAAATGGAGAGCTTATTGAGGAATTGAAGAAAGCTGGAATTACTAGTGCTCTTTTGGAAAAAGAAGAATCCTCTCAAAGTGGTGTCAACAAAACTAAAGAATAATTTTGTTTTAAATTATCCTGTAAATAAACAACCGTGTCTTGTATGGATAGAAAGATAGTCACTTTTTGTTATAATAAACATTTTTGTTAATATTAAACATAATTTTAACCACGATGCAGATACAATGCATGTATAAATCGATGTTTACTTAGTATTTAGTCGTAAATTTCTTGACATCAATTCGAGTATGAAACTCGATATTTGAAGAATATGTTATAAATTTTCAAGTTCTTTTCGAAGAATTTTTCCGGATGCAGATTTCGGAATATTTTCTATAACTTGTACATATCCTAATTGTTTATACTTGGCTACACGTTTAGCGACAAATTCTTTGAGTTCGTTCTCATTAATTTTGACTCCCGACTTAGGAACTACAAAAGCTTTTGGAATTTCGCCATAATTCTCGTGTGTCACACCAATGACGGCGACATCTTTTACATTATCGTAATAACGAATTACTTCTTCAAGTTCAGTGGGTGCAACTTGATATCCTTTTACTTTTATCAATTCCTTCAATCGTCCTTGCAAATACAATGTACCTGTATTTTGCAACATATGATACACAATTATCTCGTTTCGATTATTAAATATAATTATTGTCACAGTCTTATTTTTTAAAAGTTTCTGATTAAATCTCGCTTACCATCTTCAGTATAATGCCCTAAATCATCAGTCTTGTACCAATCTCCATCCATAGTATCTGCTGTTGCCTTGGGATTTTTGTAATACCCTTTCATTACTTGTGGGCCCCGTATATATATTTCTCCCACTTCGTGCGGACCTAAATTTCTGCCAAAAGTGTCATCTCCCGTGCTTACAATCCTCATTTGTGTATTTGGAACCAAATGACCGCAGGATGACGGTGATGTATTTATTATAGAACTGATTGTAGCCACCGGGGATAGCTCCGTTGCGCCGTATCTGTAAACGAAAATTGTTTTTCTTATTGTTGTATAGACATATTTGTAACAGTGATCTCTTACCCTTGGATAATATTCATGTTATTAGTGAAACGACTTTGAAATTTTGTAATAAGTTTTTCTCCGAGCGGTGCAGCTCCTATCATTGTTAATTTTACAGATTCAATATGACGGGATGTAATTCGCTCGTTGTATATCATCATCTGAACGATAGGTGGTACTATATGCAATACTGTACACCGATGATTTTCAAACAGTTTTATAAATTCTTCCATTGAGAATTGTGGTAGACACACCAATTTAGCACCTATTCTGTAATTGATGAAATGACGATAAATCTCATTATTTCAAGTATTAGCTTGATATTTCATGTGTCATACGATAAACTTATTAAGCGTAGTAATTGACTGCAGAACAGAGAGATTCGAGAATTGATTTTGTACGACACACGAAATGTCGACTTTATAAAGAAAATATGAAGTCAAAAGTTAAATGATTATTTAATATTAAATATTCGGCATATTTGGGCATTTACATGTCATAGTTACGCAAACGAGTTAATAGATACATGTTAACATACCGCAAGTAAGAATACAGGCTAATTAATAATCCATAATAGTGATACATTGGTAATATTAGTGGTACAATATCCTGATGGTGTTCACTCGCTTCTATTCCTGGGAAGAATGTTGGATCCGTAGTTTGAAGAATATTTACAACAATGTTCCTGCGAAATCGTGTTCTGATTATTTTTTATTATTTTACATTGATATTATAACAGTATATTGAATTTTCACATTGTATAGAAATTTATTTATATGAATTGCATTTTTTTCAGTACAAATATTTAATATGTAATCAATTAACGCACTTATGAGACGACTCAACGCCTTTCGGCAAACCAGTCGTACCACTGGTATAAGGCAAGAATACCGTATCTTCGCAACTTATTTCAGTTTTTTGACTAATTGAAAAATCTTCGATGTCATCACGCATAAGATCATTTAATTGAATCGTTCCTGAGATTGAGCTAGCGTTAGTCCCATCGTTTACGATGATGATTGGTAATTTTATCTTCGAATTTTTCTCAATACATGCTTTAATATCAGTATATTTTGCCGGAAATGTGAAAATAGCTCGAGTGTCCGCGTTCTCTAATTGTCTTTTTATCTCATATGTTGTATGTACAGGATTAATCAGAGTTGTCTTAAAAAGAAAAAATTTAAATGACTAATACAGCAAATAACTATTACAGCAAGCTTATATAGTGATAGATATTTCTAAAAAATTAATATCTTATTATATTATAGTATATTTTTCCAATGTTAATTTTTATTATTTTTTTACTAGTTAAAAAAATTTTTTGTTAATCTGCTATTAAATAAAGTTATTTAAATTGTTCCATCATATCTTAAATATATAATCGCAGTTCTTTTTTCGGCAAATATAGTAGATATATAAAGTTGCATTTTAAATGAAATCACTATGTCCTGGTCCCATTTCATTGATAGAGTTGATAGTTTGTTACAATTTACTAGACATGCTGCATAGTATGTATATAATGCTTCTAAATGTAATAATTTTATTTTACGCGTAAACCGGCTTCATTTGCTGCTAGTATGATGATGGCGAATTCTGGAATATTTGGTAAAACGATAGCAATAGTATCTCCCGGTAAGAGCTTGCTTTTTCTTAAACTCGTTGCTAGTTTTCCGCATGCTTTTCTCAATTGACCGTATGTATATGATCTACCAGTATTTGCGCATACCTAAAATTAAAAAAGTAATTAATTTAAAAAGTTGTACTTACCACTTATATAGGATGTTTATAAACGCGATGAATCTAAGGGTCGACAAAATTGTAACTGAGCATTAAGTTTAATAAAGTATTATTATATCATTAAATAAATACAAATTTTCCGAATTAAAATCTATGCAATTTAATAAATTATCCGATATACAATAAATAGTTTTGTGCTGTTGAGGCATTATTATTAATCTCGTGTGAAGTGAGTTGAGCAACAAATAACTTCCAAAAATGTAACGAGCAATTGTGATAATGAAGAAACTTAATGATTGTCTCAAAAATTACAAATTCCTTATTTATCTTAAATATACATATATTCGCTATATTTTAAATATTCTTTTTTATTCTATTATTAGTTTCGATAACACTTTATCTGAACTTATTGTTAGACATGTAGCCGATTATCTTAAAAATTACACAAATTCCACATTTATTTTAAATATACATATATTCGCTATATTTCAAATATTCTTTTTTATTCTATTATTATCTTTGGTCACACTTGATCTAAACTTATTGTTAGACATTTAGCCGCGCGATCTTTCTTTTTTCGATTATTCAATTATTATCTTTGATTACACTCGATCTAAATTTAGATATTTATCGATTAAGATGAAAAAATTTTATAGCTCGTATTCAGAACGCGTTTACAACGATGTTAGCGCGCTAACATACTATACTTTACGTTACACATTACAGAATTTCAGAGATAAAAGTGCACTTTTATCGATAAAAATGCGTTCTGGAATAGATAATAGTTATGTTCTTTTGTAATGATAATATACATGATTGAAAATAAGAAGCAACGACTCTCTCTC